CCAGCCCGCCCCGCCCCGCCCCTGGGGGCCACCTGCTCGATGCTGGTGATGGGCTTGATCTTGTCGTGGGCGTTCTCCCGGCAGTGCTCCAGCGCCGCCACGAAGGTGAACTGCTGCTGCTGGAACAGCTTGTACTTCTGCTCGATGCTCCGCAGCGATTCCTTCGCCTCATTCATGGTCCTCCGGGGGCTCCCTCAGGCCCGGGGGTCTGGGAGGAAGAGCGAGCGCTGAGGGCCCTCCTCGGGGAGCACTCCCGGGGCTCCCGCATCCTGGGGAGCAGGGGCTGCTGTCACCCCCATTTTGCAAGAAGGGAGTGAGCCCCTCCCATGCCAGCCCCCCCACCCCCCCACGAGAGGGGGGTGAGCTGAGCCCGACCCACGCCCGTGTATCTCGCAAGGACACATCCTTTGCCATGAAGTGTGACTTTCTTCCCTCCCTGTGGGCGAGAACGTCTCCGGTCCTGTCTCTCCAGACTGAGTTTCACACACAGACATACACATGCGGGCACACACGCACACTCACGCACACAAACATACCCGCGCATGCACACACGCACACTCACGCACACAAACATACCTGCTCACGCACACACGCTCAGCCTCCAGTGCCTCCCCGTGGAGTCAGCAAAAGCTGGGACCAGGGCATGTGCCCATCAGGGGGGCCAGGCAGGGAGGAGCCAGCCCTGGCTGAGACTCCCCAGCTCTGGGCTTGGGGCAGGACCCTGCCCTCCCTGCTGGCCCCTCCTCCCTGCCTCCCCGCATTGGGAGGGGGATGGGAGGGGATGCTCGCTGGGTGCCTAGGACCCAGGCTCTGTCCGCAGCTCCTCCACAATCTGCTCTGGGAGCAGAAAGGCTGTGGTGGGCTCTGCCCCCCGTGACGTCATCATTTTGCTGAGCACACGCCGCATGCTCCAGCTCACAGACCTGTGGGATGTCAGAGTCGGAAGGGGCCTCGGCAGATCAACTCCCCTTACTTCCGGGGTGGGGGGACACTGACACCCAGGATGTCACAGCAAACTTGCTCCACAGACCCCCGCCCCCTCCCCCGTCCCCAGGCTCCAGGCTGCCTGAGGGCTGAGCAGCATCCTCGAAGCTGCCAGGGCCTCTGGGGCACCAGCACACCTGGAGCCCAGGCCTGCACGCACCCCAGGTGAGCAGGGTCAGGAGGCTGGGCCGGGGGGTGGGTCCCAGTGAGAAGCTACCGGGAAGGATGGGACCAGGAGGACCCGTTCCAGGCTTCCTGGCAGGTCCCAGGAGAGGCGTGAGAGCAGGTTGGAGCTGGGGGTGGGGGGCATTATTGCTGGGTGTCCCTCAGCACCTGAGCCCAGGGCAGGGCTGGCACCAGGGAGGGCATCTCTGTGGCAAGAGGAGATGGCGTCCTGGTGAAAGGAAACGCAAGAACGGACAGAAGATGGCCTCTGTCCAGGAGGGTGGGGGCCTCTGTCCGGGAGGGTGGGGGCCTCTGTCCGGGAGGGTGGGGGTCGTGAACCAGAGAATGGGAGGACAGGGAGGCAGCCAAACCCTGGGCGGGAGCTGTCCCGCAGCCAGGCCGCCATCAAGGAGCCGCGCCAGAGGGGGCCCTGACAATGGTGCCCGTAAACCCGAGGGGGTCCCTGAAAGTATAAGGGGGTGCACTCAGCGGCAGCGGCTGAGTCTGCCCCGGGAGCCATAGCGCCTGTGTTGGCCAACAGAGCCGCGCAGCTCACTGGGGACCGGCGGGCCCAGGGCCAGGCCACCTCCTCCCCACCCAGCACTGCCCCATCTGAGCCCGCACAGGTGGGGAGCCGACAGTGGGGATGCAGTGGGGGCTCCCTGTGTGCTGACTACCTGCCGCATCCTGCCCAGATACGGCACCCCACACCAGGAGGCAGCCCCGCGGGTCACTGTTGTGCGTCCCCTGGCCTCAGGCTCACCAGGGCCTGGCCTAGCGAGGGGTGGGCAGGCGGGATCAGTGAGTGGAGAGTGGCTTAGATCAGGGCGCAGCTAAAGAGAAGGGGAAGCCAGGAGCAGGAGGGGTGGCAGGAACCAGGGGCTACACCGCCTGCACAGGGGCATGTGGGAGAGGAGCTGGGGCAGGGCAGGTGCCGGGCCCTTAAGCAGAGCCTGGATGGCTCGCCCCATCCTCGTAAGGCTGCAGGCTGCTTGATGGGGCTCTAGAACCCTGGACGGGCCCAACCTCAAGTCCTCACTACGGCCCTGTGCACAGGGCCCCCAGTTATGCCCCCCGCCCCGGCAGGTCATGCCAGAATCCCCCCACGCCTCTGCCTGACCTTATAGAGTCTGGGCTCTTAACTTGAGTGTCTCCCTCCTTCCCTCCGAGACGGTCCATAGAGACAAACGTGCCCAACATGAGAGTGACTGTGGCAGGGGCACAGGGGGTGCAACCAAGGGCCTGAAGTGCTGCCTGAGCCCTCCTGGGGGTCCTGCTTCCACTCCCATCGCTGTTCCCTGTTCCTCATTCCAAAGCAGTGAGGACTGGCATCGGGGCCGCCGGTGCGCCTGGCTCCTTGCCACTCCCCTGGGGCTGCCAAGTCCTCCAGGGGTACAGCACTACCTCGGCTGGTGGCCCCCAGAGCCCCCGAGAGCAAAACTGACGGGGTTCTTGATCCTAGTGGCTGGTGACACGCACGCCCGGAATGTCGCGAGAAGAGCTGTAATAAGCTATCCAAAGTGATCGCCCTTGAACGGGAGTCCCTGTCACCAAATTAGTTGGGATGAAAGGCACGGGGTGCAGACACTTCTCGGTCTGGGGGAGGCGGGAGGGAAAAGTGATTACCCAATAGGTTTCTGGCTTTAATTGATTTGTATTTTCCCAGGCTGCTAAGGAAGATTAAATAAAGGTAGAGAAACCTGGGGCTCAAAATAAATGAGGAGGAAGGCGCGTCATTTCAGAAATGTCCAGGAAGCAAACCCAACCTCGGGTGCAAATTGCAGGCTTGGTTCTTGCACCTTTGTTCGGGGGCTGTCTTTGCTGTTGGGTTTGACAAGCCCCGGAGGTTTGCACGCTTTGAGGAAGCCGTTCTGAGGGGGAGGGAGGAAGTGGGACTCAGTCCCGAACGGTTCTCTGGGCCGGTGATTGGTGGCAAAGGCTTCGGCTAGGAGGCAGGACACCTAGTTCCAGTCCTGGCTCTTCCCTTGATGAACAAGTGACCCTGGCCGACAATGGCCCCCTTCCTGGGGCTCAGTTTACCCAGCTATAAAGGGAGGGGATTCGGGTCAGAGGCTCTGCAAGGAGCTTTTGGAGCCTAGTGATCAGTGGAAGGGGAGATGACTTGCCCCAAAGCACACAGCCAGCGGCTGCTCGCCATTCTCATCCTCCAAAGTATCGTGTGCAAAATGGGAATGAAAGTGCCCATTCCTCAGGGTTGTGCAAAGATGAGATGAGATCATGCTAACAGTAGCCCCTGTGTAGTGTGCCCTGACCAGACGCCAGTCACTGCCTAACACTTCAGATATATTAGCTCCTGGGGTCCTCCCAACACCCCCACTTCATTGGGAAGGAAAGCGAGGCCTGGGGCAGGCTCCCCAGCTGTTAAGAGTGCCCGCGGGATTTGAACTCGGGGCAATCTGGACTGACTAGGCCACGCGCCCTCTCCACAATGAGCACACACCGCGGCAGAGCTCAGAAGGGCAGCAAGAGCTAGAGCTGCCCATTCAGGGCTGCGTCCCAAGCTTGCCGGTCCCGCCCCACTGGGATGGACGCGACCCCCACGGCGCCGCACCCCTTTCCCCTCCCCGGGCGGCGGGCCCCTGCACCCCGGCTCGCCCCCTCCCCGGTTTCCGAACCTGGGGCTGTAGCCTCTGCTTGTCTACAGCGGCCTTCACTCACAGAACGCCCCGAAGCTGCAGTGCCTCCGTGGGTGCCTGGGGCCCGAGAGAAGCGGGAGGCCCGTCGCAGGGCGTGGAGGGGCATGGGGTGTAGGGTGGGGAGGGCGCAGTGAGAAGGGGCGCTCCCGCCCCGCCTCCGGAGGCGGCGGCGGGGTCTCCAGGGCTCAGAAGCTGCGAGTGGGGCGGAGGGTTTCCAGGGGGACCCTTGTCCTCCAGTCGGCCCCATGGATTCTCTTCCCTCTTCAAATCCGCTCCCCCAGTTCTGCTCTCCGTTTTAAAGATGGGGAAACTGAGGCCAGAGAGCCTAACGCCCGGGCCCGGGAGCGTAGGATCCGCTCTGGTTCATATGTGCACAGACACAAAACCAGGCGGAGCGCACGGAGCTCACAACCAGGAACCAGAAGCAGGATCCGCTTCTGCCGTCGGGGTGCGGTCCGGGTCCCAGCACAGGGGGGTGCACCGGGCGCACCTCTGCTCCTCGGAGGCCACAGCGGAAGCGACCCGAAGGTCCCG